CTACTCAAAAAAAAAAAAAGGGCATAACCCAGATGTTCCCTCATTTGACCAACTCCATCTAAGTTTAGATGTGCAGAAGGGCTTAGATATATCCAGAGTAAGCCACACACAACATGTTACTTGATCAATTTTCTAAAATAAGGTTTCAGGACAATGACAGTAAGATAAGGGAGGAAAACATGGATGAATGAAGTCCTAATTACTATACATGCATATTTTTTTTGACAATAGGGGGAAACCTTTTACAGATAAGTTACAAACAAAGAAAAGGCAAATAAACACTTTTGTACAAGAAATTTACCACATTCTGTACAATGTCTTCACTTTGCTGTCATCATTTGTACAAACTCTTCATAGTTTACTTGACCATCACCATCAATATCTGCTTCCCTGATCATTTCATCAACTTCTTCATCTGTTAACTTCTCTCCAAGGTTTGTCATCACATGGTGGAGTTCTGCTGCACTAATATAGCCACTACCATCCTTATCAAACACACGGAATGCTTCTCTAATTTCTTCTTCACTGTCTGTGTCTTTCATTTTTCTTGCCATCATTGTCAGAAATTCCGGGAAGTCAATTGTGCCATTACCATCAGCATCTACTTCATTAATCGTGTCCTGTAACTCTGCTTCTGTGGGATTCTGCCCAAGAGACCTCATTACAGTTCCCAATTCCTTTGTTGTTCTAGTTCCATCACCATCCTTGTCAAATAGTGAAAAAGCTTCTTTGAATTCTGCAATCTGCTCTTCAGTCAGTTGGTCAGCCATGCTGCAAGCGCTACCGGTCTCCGGGACGCAAGCACACAACCACTCAGCTCGCTCGCTCCACACTGAATATGTTCTTTGAAAGTGCCTGTTCAAATATCTTGCCCGCTTCTCTTTAGATGAACTGTCTACTTTTCCCTTATGATTTGTGTACCGTTGTTGGACTTTGGTGTTGCAAACATCTCGTTTATGACTTGCCGATTTCATGCCTTCCCAGTGTCCTCTGATGTATAGAAGCTTGGTTTTCAGGTGGTCCGTTTACCCAGCCGTTCTGTGGTTTAAGTGTCTTTTCTGTCACATGGCCCGGTTCTCCAAAACCAGCGTTCATTCCTAGGTCCCTGTGCCCCTTCCGCGGAGGGTCTGCGCCCCCCTGCAGTGCGCACGTGTGTTCACAGGCTGTGTCTGTCCGCGCAGCGGCGCGTGTGCTGTTCTGCAGCCGCTGTGTTCTCACAGTTCGCCTTGGTGCTCCTCTCACTTCCACACAGACAGCGGCCTAGCGGCCTGGCCTGTGCTGCAGCTTTGGGCTGCATTAATCGTCTGCTATGAGAAGCGCTGTGGTGACGAACGTTGTTCTACACACGTGGTTCAGCACCTGTGAAACATGTCTTTTGGGGCCGCGCCGTGTGCCTTGCGGGATCTTAGTCCCCTCCAGGCATGGCCCCGTGCCCCTCAGCGGTGGCGCGTGGAGTCCTCCTCACCGGGGAGTCCCGAGAGATCTCCGAGGAGTGGGGGCTTGAAGAGCGCGGCGGACGTCTCGGTCTTGGTAGCTGGCTGCCCCGTGGGCTCCGGAGATGGTCTGTTTGCTCCCCCTTCCCCACAGGGGGCCTTTCCCCCCAACTCCCTGACTCGGCGCCTTCAGACCCCGCCCGGCTGATGGACAGAAGGTGGGTCTCCGTGTAGTGCATCTGCATTCCTCTAACTCCGTCTCAACGTCACCTAGGTTTCTGTTTCTGTCAGCAGCCTGTCCTTTTGCCCATTTTCTATTCGGCTGCAGTTCACATGTTTGAGAGAAATTAGCCCTTTGTGATGTGAGCTCTGAAAGTTTCTCGTTTGTCTTGAAGACGCCTTCTGACTTCACAGTGTTCCTTTGCGTGCAGATGTTTCCATGTTAGTGTTCAGTCTCTCAGACCCCCTGTGATGGCTGTTAGCTGCTGCCGTGGTCTTCTCCCACACACAGTACCAGACAGATAGATCTCACTGCAGGCCTTATGTGGGTAGGTGCTTATGTGTTTAGAGATTTTATTCATTTTGAACTTAGTGTGTGAGATAAGGATACACCTAGTTTTTCCAGATGGATACCCAATGGCGTTTATTGAATAGTCTGTTTCCTCCCCCTGGTTGATCTGAAATGTCACTGTTACCAGACGTTCACCTGTTTCACGTATTTGGGTTTATTTCTTCACCTCCCTCTCTGTTCCCCTGATTCATCTGTGCAGACGTGCACCAGATGTTTTCATTACTGTGGTTTCTCAACAATTTGACTATCTGCTAAGGCTCATCCTCTCTTACTTTTCTTTTTCAGAATTTTCTTGACCATTCTTGCATTCTAAAAAAAAGTAATACATCAGCTGTGGAAGGAGCTGATCCTATCCTTAAAGAACCCTCTTGGTACTTTTATTAGGGCTGCCAGAAGTCTGTGAGGCAGCAAAAGGAGAACCGACGTCCCTGTGGGTATCTCTCCAGGATGGTGGCTGCTGTCCACCTCTGCCCCTGATTCTCATAATCATGTGTTTAAACTTTCCTCCATAAGGCTCTCTTTTATTGGAAGTTTATTCCAAGGTATTTCAGCTCTTTCATTGCTGTTCCAAACGTGGTTGTTTCTTCGTCTCTGTCCTAAAAAGGCCACTGATATCTGTACAGTAATTTCCCCATCTCCTACATGAATCCCATTTTTGTGTAGTGAGTTTCTATTTGATGTTGTGCCTTGAAGCTCATAGGGTGGACGTCACAGGACCTTGACCCGGAAGGCCTGCATCTGTGTTCTCTGTGAGCTGTATCTTCAGGGAGATCACTTTGAGTTCACCTTTCTGTCCTGACAGAGTGCTCATTCTGTGGTTCTCCGTGAGCATCCCTGCTAGGATGACGGACAGTTTTTTTTCCTTCAAATGACAGTTTTCATTTCAGGAGCCTCAGCGCCTCCAGAGCACTCAGGGAAAAAATCTGGTGGTTAAACGCGGATATGTCCCTCTCCCCCCACTTATATTTATTATATCTTAACTACACAAATGACGTGCCTGTTGATGGAAAATTTAGACTTTAATATCTAAGACTAGTTAATAATTGAGGTGAGCATGGCAGGCCTTACCCCATCCCCCACTTCTGCTCAGCCCCTTGAAGATGCAGCACACAGCCTTCCCAACTTCTCTCTGTGGTGTGTTGGTAGGGTGCGTTGTCTCTGTTGTGTGTTAGTACAGTGTATTGTCTCTGTTGTGTGTTGGTAGGGTGTGTTGTCTCTGTTATGTGTTGGTAGGGTACGCTGTCTCCACGGTGTGTTGTCTCTGTGGTGTGTTGGTAGGGTGCATTGTCTCTGTGGTGTGTTGGTAGGGCGCACTGTCTCCATGGTGTGTTGGTAGGGCACGCTGTCTCCGTGGTGTGTTGGTAGGGCACTCTGTCTCTGTGGTGTGTTTGTAGGTTGCACTGTCTCTGTGGTGTTTTGGTAGGGTGCGCTGGCTCTGTGGTGTGTTGGTAGGGTGTGCTGTCTCTGTGGTGTGTTGGTAGGGTGCACTGTCTCTGTGGTGTGTTGATAGGGTGCGCTGTCTCTGTGGTGTGTTGGTAGGGTGCACTGTCTCTGTGGTGTTTTGGTAGGTTGCGCTGTCTCTGTGGTGTTTTGGTAGGGTGCGCTATCTCTGGTGTGTTGATAGGGCGCGCTGTCTCCGTGGTGTGTTGGTAGGGCGCGCTGTCTCCGTGGTGTGTTGGTAGGGCGCGCTGTCTCCGTGGTGTGTTGGTAGGGCGCGCTGTCTCCGTGGTGTGTTGGTAGGGCGCGCTGTCTCCGTGGTGTGTTGGTAGGGCGCGCTGTCTCCGTGGTGTGTTGGTAGGGCACGCTGTCTCTGTGGTGTGTTGGTAGGTTGCGCTGTCTCTGTGGTGTGTTGGTAGGGCGCTCTGTCTCTGTGGTGTGTTAGTAGCGTGTATTTTATGAAAGGGAGACACAGTGTATAGAGACGGAAACTCCTTTTCTTTTTTTTGGAAGCTCCTTTCCTTGACTGAACTGCTGTCCTGGCTCTGTTCCGTGATGGTCTGTACAGAGTTCCGTGTTCTTCTCCAGGGATGTGTAATTTAATTATGGATGCGTCCATCACTACTACTGTTACAATTCTTTGCCCGTCTGTGCTTGCGCGTTAGCTCTGCAGCTGTTCTGGGTTATCTGCAGAAGGGAGTGAAAGTGGAGTTGCTGGGGCAAAGGTGTGTATGAGGTGTTTTCACGTCGTCCAGGCAGTGAATGTGGTCTCCCCGCAGCCACGCCACTCTCTGCGAGCATCATCATAACCTGTTTGATGGGTGAAAGGGATAGCTCACTGTTTTCATTTATTGATCACCAGAGGGCTGGAGTTCCTTTGTCTGCCTGAAGCCATGTGTATTTCTTCACACAGTTTGTCAGAGCAGCATGAGGCATGAGTTTCTTCAGCACAGTTCAAGACTGTAACTTTGCTCGGTGTCTTTCTTTTCAGAAAATGTTTATTTTTGTTTCATCGAATCTGTCTGTCCTTTGTGCTCTGCTTAGGGGACTCTCCCCACCCGGAGGCCACAGACACAGCCTCCTCTGTTCCTCCAGCCTTTCCTCCGCTGGAACTCATCTTTGTGAGCAGAGGGAGGGCTGCCCTCTGGCCGTGTGAGGGGCAGCCAGACACTGCGTGCCTTACAGCTGGGGTCCCCTGCGGACATGGACACAAGACTCATCTTTTTAGTAAATGTCGGGATCCTTTGATGATATGTTTACTGAGGCTAAAAATGCCTCCTGTAACCTTGAAGTTATGAAAGAATGTAACTAAACGCACTCTGAGAATGTCAGATTGAGGCCTTTTTAGCTTCACTGGGTGTCAGTTTCTGGGAAGGGAGAGCCTGTTTCATCTGTTTGCCCTGTGACAGTTTGTGAGCCTCATCAGAAGGGAGAGGGAAGCAAGAAGTTAACTTAGCAAAGTTTTGCCTGTGGGGAAGGACTCTTGCCCAGCATTGGTAAACCTTTGTTATTGAAGGTATGTAATTAATCCTCCTCCTGTTTTCTCTATCTCATCACAGCCTAAGTGTGATGGCCAGGTGTTACTGACGCAGGTGTGGAAGCGCTTGAATCTGATAGAATGTGACTACTTCGGCCTGGAGTTTCAGAACGTGCAGTCCTGCTGGGTACGTGCCATGGTGTGTTTTTGAAAAGAGGCTCCGGATGAGCTGCAGGATGCTGACGGCGGTGCTCCTGGGCCAGTGCCCCGGGACCTGCTGGCATGATGCGGGCAGGGCACGCTGTGAGCCTCAGACTGCACGATTGAAATATCCTCTGTACAGCTACAGGGGAACCCCTTCTGCACAACTTACAAAAGCAAGTAGCACATATCTTCTGTGATACTCATTTCAAGGGTTGTTCAATCACTCAGTCGTGTCCGACTCTTTGCAACCGCATGGACTGCAGCACACCAGGCCTCCCTGTCCTTCACCATCTCCCGGAGCTTACTCAAACTCACGTCCATCTGGTCGGTGATACCAGCCAACCATCTCATCCTCTGTCGTCCCCTTCTCCTCCTGCCTTCAATCTTTCCCAGCATCAGGGTCTTTTCCAATCAGTCGTTTCAAGGATAGATTTGAGCAAACTGCTTTACTAAACTGGTTAAACTCATTTTACTAAATAGATGAACCGTCAAAGTGTGGAGCTTTAGTGTTTATAGGTGGAAGTGTTTTAAAGAAACCAAATGACCTGTTAGTTCAGAGAACACGTCGGCATCATGGAGCCACGGCCACCCCATCACACAGTAATCCTCTCGTCAGCTTGCTGCTTACAGAGGCAGCGGGTGCTGACATGTGTATGGACTTAGCAGATACCCCCTACATACACACACACACCACACACCCACAGCACACACACACACACCACATTACACACACACATCGCCACACTCACACCACACATCACACACACTCATACACACCACACAGACATCACACCCACACCCCCACACACACACATACCACACTCACACCACACATCACACACCACACACACACACACCCCACACAGACATCACACACACATACCACGTCTCACACACACACCCCCACACACACCACACGCCATATACACACACTCACACACCTCTGTGCACACACCTACACACACAGTGTTCTGTGTCCACTCTGCCTGGCGACAGCACACCCTGTGACTCAGTGGTTTACAGCCGGCCCTGCGGGACTTGGCATATTTGTATCAAGATTCGACATGGGGGGGATGTTCCTGCTTTAAATGTTTGTCTTAAATATAAATATTTTTGTGTTTTGTAATATGCTGATTAAATAGAGAAGTAAGTTAATGAATTTGATATCTTTTCTTAAATTCTCTTTAGATCTGGCTTGAACCTATGAAACCCATCATTAGACAAGTACGAAGTAAGTCCTTTTTTAACTCTTTAAAATTCTGTTCACCTAAGATGCGTGTCCTTGACTGTTCAGATTCAAGACGCAGACGACCGTGGCCGTCACCTCGGGGCGGCAGTGACGCACCACCCACAGCAGGTGCGCTGGGAGGTCGCTTTGCCGTTTAGCTTCAAGCTGAGATGTGGAGGGTGGGGCATCACCTAACTCAGATACTTCTTGGTTACCTGCCTCACCTGTGGGAGAAATAGGATTTGCTGGTCAGTACTGCTTCAATTTTTGGCCAATATGCAAAATGAGTGTGCAGCTTCTGATTATGAAAGGACATTCAGGGTGACATCTCCAGTCATTTGAACTCACCTGTAACATTTTTAGAACTAAATCGAGGGGGAGAGGATTATGGGGGGAACTTCTGTTCACTTAGAAGCCAAGGCCATTTCAATTGCTGTAGCATTTTAGCAAAGCAGTTCCTCTTTTCTGTTGGTGAAAATTACATGACTGAGTTATTATAAAATTTCAATAAAGCTAAAATATTCAGATGAGCTAATATCTTATGCTTTTTCTTTACAGTAATCAGGTTGTCCTAGTTTCATATATTGAATGATAACATTTTTCTTTCACTAAAGTATATAAGGATTTAAAGAATAATGGCCTTTTAATTTTTTTTATTTATTTTTATTTTTTGGCTTTGGCACTCTGGGATCTCATTTCCCTGACCAGGAGTTGAACCCAGGCCCTGGCAGTGAAAGCCCAGGATCATAGCCTCTAGGCCGCCTGGGAGCTCCGAGGCTTTTAAAATTATTGCTACTACTATTAGTATAAACACTATAATTTTTAATCACTTTTTTACTCCTAAAATAAGATGAATATATTTTAAGATTTTAATGTGCAGTCTTTTTTTTTAGGGTTTCAAACTTTTAGTAACCCCTGCTTAATATAGAAGTTTTTCATTTTTTTCTTTGCTACATGTGACTGGCACTTAGGACTAATAACTTCATGCACAGGAAGGGTCTTAATATCCTCTTACTTGAAAAGACTTGCTCTAACAGTTCATTTGAAAGCAGCAGCTCAGTTATGCCAGAGCATGCAGAAAGATAGCAAATACAGAGAGTGACTTATTTGTAGACTGTAAATTTTTCTTTCTATAGGACCAAAGAATGCAGTGCTTCGCCTAGCAGTGAAGTTCTTCCCACCAGATCCGGGTCAGTTGCAAGAAGAATATACACGGTAAAGAGCCTGACTGACAGAGCCACCGTGAGCGGATCCCGCTCACCCTCTGCAGCACCTGCATGTCACCTGGGCCCCTGGTCAGGGTCCTCCACACGCAGAATAAGCCCTGTGTCCGTACCAAGCTGGGACCAGAGTCACAGCTAAAAGCAGCATTGGTGGAGTTAACTCCTCACAGACCCAAATGCAAATAGGATTCAGAAGAAAGATCGTGTTATAAATTTGAGAATTAAAAGAGGGGTGTTAGGGTACTTCTGAACAAATATTCTCCAGATGAGCCTAGATTTGTGTGTGTGCACAAAGTTTGGAGAAGGGCATGGCAACCCACTCCAGTATTCTTGCCTGGAGAATCCCATGGACAGAGGAGCTTGGTGGGCTGCAGTCCACAGGGTCTCACAGAGTCAGACATGACTGAAGCGACTTAGCATGCTTGCAAAAAGTTTGTAGGAGTTTTGCCCATTCCTTTACTATTTTATCAACAAAATGACTTTAACTGGGAGAAGAATCAAGTGTGAAAGTCTTTAGGAGTATACGGAGTAGAAATTCTTCAGGGGATCTCTTTTCTGCTGCTTTTTAAAATTCAGGATCGATTCTTTGCAGAAATGATTGAAAGTGTTTGCAGTTGTTTCACCTGGATATTAAGATTATGGAAGTGGTTTTTTCCCTTGTGTTTTATGTACTGATTTTATCACGAGGAATAAAGCAAAAATCTAAAAATCAAGTGGAAACCCAGAGTCGGATATAAGTGAAGAGAGGACTACAGTGACGATGCAGTGGTGACAGAGTAGCTTCCTGACCTGACGTGGATTTTTACCCGAGTCCTCTGGGTCTTGGACCGTCTGCGTGGGTCTCTGCCAACTGTTCCATTGTCACAAAGCCACAGGCTGGGCTGCAGGGAAGCTTAGACCATGTGGCTCCAGCCGCAAGTCTTCACAGGAGGGAGGCCGACCCCAAGGACAGCAGAAAATATGAGTGAGCTTATCTTAATGGTGCATTAAATACCTGACATTTACCAAGAAGTCCCTCTTCAGGAACCACTTTTAAACATATATGCCTCGACAACTGTGAGCAACAGGAAGTGACAGCCTAATTCTGTCCTGGGGCCAAGTCGAGTTTATGCAGAAGGTCCTTGTCTTATTAATTAAAAAATGATGTATCTGTGGTAAAAGGAAAAAGCTGTAAAGTTACGTGGAGTAAAGAGTCGGCATCCCCCTCACTGCATGCCGCCCCAGTCCCTGCAGGCCGGACACGGGGGGGGGGGGGGGGGGGGGGGGTGTCCTCCAGGTGGCGCCCCCACGCCAGCAGCCCGGCGTCCTTAAGTGAGTGTCTCAGAAAGCAGCGGCAGACGCACGCCCAGAGCCGCGGGCGGCTCGCTCTCTCTGTTACCTGAGTGCCCGCTGCCTTCCATGGATGTCCTTCCACGCTGGTGTGCATGGCTGCCTCCGGATTTGGTTAACCAGCCTCATGTGGGTGCAAGTCTGGGTTGTGTCTCGCTGTTCTCTGCTGCAGTGCTGCAGATAAGTCTCCTTCTGCACACATATTCGTGAGCTCTGGAAACATTTCTGTAGGAAAAAAAGTTCACGGGGTGGGATTGCTTGAGGAGGGGCACGCACATTTCCGGTGTGAGCCCAGTAGGCGCTGGTGCAGACACTGGCGTGTGAGCCCCGAGAAGGACGGGGCGGCTGTCCTGCTTCCCTGCTGCCTCCAGCGCCTGGAGCAGCCAGGTGCTCGGGGCTGCTCGCTGGTGAGTGAATGAATGTGTAAACGGTGTCAGCCCACCCCCTGCCACCCTCTCACCTCTTAATTCAGGGGGCCTGCGCCTCAGATTCTAGCCAAGACCCGTATTGCCCACCTGCCTGAGACTCGCAGCCACACTTGACACTCTGTCCTTGCTAAAAGGACAAAGGAGAAAGCTGCTCCTTCCCACAAAACCGCGCGTGCGGTTGTGTCTGGTGACACAGGGAGCACAAGTTTGTGAGCTGCCCCCGTGAAAGCCTGGCTCCGGGTGGTTGGTGCCCGGGGTGTGGATGCCGAGCGCTGTGGGGCCAGGCCGCCTGGGCACCGTCTGCTCCGTGCGGCCGGGCTGTGTGTCCTCCTCAACACGGGGACGTGTGTCCCGGGGGCCTTGGGCCTGACTTCTGTGCTTCTCCCTCCTCCTAGATACCTGTTTGCCCTGCAGCTTAAGAGAGACCTTCTGGAGGAGCGTCTGACCTGCACGGACACCACGGCCGCCCTCCTGGCGTCCCACCTCCTGCAGGGTGAGTGTCCCCATGTGACCCACATTCATGGGACCCGCTGCGCCCAGGTTCTTCTGAGGGGCTAAAGGTTAGCTTCCTGCCTGGGAGGGGGATGGGCCATGCAAGACCCCAACGGTTTCCCTTGGCCTCAGGCCTCCAGTTTGGGCTCCAGGCTGTACCCTGACTCTGGGTGACATCACAGCCCCCATGACAGGCAGGCATCAGTCCCTGAAGGACAGAGCGTACCCTCCGATATCTCAGCGGGAGACGCTTCAGAGCATGAAGCGTTATGTGACTTCAGACAGGAGCTGGGAGGAGCACGAGGAGAGGCTGTGGGAAGCAGGTGTGTGCTGCCCCTGTGCAGGACAGGAAGGAGACCCAGAAGGCTCCTGAACTGCACTGCGTCCTCTGTGTAAAATGGGTGCTCTGGAGTGTGGGCGCTGGACCACGTCCTCTGTGTAGAATGGGTGCCCTGGAGTGAGGGTGCAGGAAGCAGGGCAGAGAGAGGCTCCAGCATGTTGGGGCCACAGGGTATCTGCCTTTCCTCGGTCCTTCCCTGCCACACGATCTCCAAACAGCAAATGTTCTTATAGGTTTCCCATCCTGCCAGGTGGGTCTTGTTCATGGTTGGCAACGCAAGTGTTGAAGCATCTTTGTTGTTGTTCAGTTGCTAAGTTATGTCTGACTCTTTGTGACCCCATGGCCTGCAGCACTCCAGGCTTCCCTGTCCTTCACTGTCTCCCGGAGCTTGCTGAAACTCATGTCCATCGAGTTGGTGATGCCAGCCAACCATCTCATCCTCTGTCGTCCCCTTCTCCCACCTTCAGTCTTTCCCAGCATCAGGGTCTTTTCCAGTGAGTTGGCTCTTCTCACTGGATGGCCAAGGTATTAGAGATCAGTGTCAGCATCAGTCCTTCCAATGAGTATTCAGGACTGATTTCCTTTAGGATGGACTGGTTGGATCTCCTCGCTGTCCAAGGGACTCTCAGGAGTCTCTTAGTTCCTGTTTGTCCTGGGTCACCTCAGACGGAAGGAAGTCTTCCGTTCACACCACCATCTGGCAGGGCCTCTTGCTTGAGGGCTGTGTATGCAGCTCACATTTCCCTTAGCGACGTGTCCTCCCTGGGCCTGCGCTCTGCAGACTGGAGGCTGGTGAAGACGCACGGGGCCAGATGCACTGTAGGGTTCTGACCTGGTCCTTGGCTTTAGAGACATGTCAGGCAGCTGCCAGGACGCGCCCGGGGCTGCGGCTCGGACGCAGCGCCAGGTGGTCCTGATCTGGGTGGTGGGTGCGGGGCGGGGTGAGCAGGTCCTGTTGTGTACACACTTGTGCCAAGTTGTGATCCTGTGCCTGCAGCTCTTCCGTGAGTGTGAGACTGTCTCCAAACAGTATATTGCTTAAAATGATTGGGCTTTAACCACTGTTTTTCAAATAAGCGGAGCCTTAAAATACATGAACTAGAGAGACAGTCCTTGTTCCTTGAGAATTTGAGAAGTCCTGAAGGAAGACACAGTTTAAAACACATTATCCCGAAACAAAGCACAGGACCTTATCCAGGCTGTGATGGTCTTGAGACAGCTCACAGAGAACGCGTGGACGAAAGTGTAGCCGACAGCAGCTCAAGGTCTGCCGCCCAGGTTGCTCGCCAGCATCTTTCCTGTTCAGGAGTCAGGAGAGATTCCCTTCACCTGCCTTTGTGCTTGCTTCTAATAGCGTAAGATATTTGGGAAACTAGTACAGAATTTTCTTTGAGGGGTATATTCTTTTACTACAGAATTAGAATAATTTTTTTGCTTTTAATTCGTGCATTTACATCTTGTACTTTTACGTAAGCACTGAGATCACCTGCTACTCCTCTCTCACCTCAGCGGAAGTTGGGGACTACGATGAGGCGCTGGACCGGGAGCACCTGCGCGCCCACGAGTATGTGCCGCGGCAGGAGCGCGCCCTGCACAGGATCCTGGCGTTTCACCGCGAGCTCGCGTGAGTTGGGCACCATCAGGCTCGGGCGAGACGCTCACCCCCGCCCCTCCCCGGGGCAGACCAGGTCCTGTGGTGGCCACGCCAGGTCTGGGGTGGGGTCATCCGTGCTGCGGCCCTGTTGTCTGGCTCCCAGAGACACGGCCCTGGGGTGAGGTGAGGGTGACCCGAGGAGGGGCTAGAGATGGGGAGGCCGGGCTGGGCTGGGGAGCTGCTGGCAGGGAGGGGTCCTGGAGGCCTGGCCCCTGCAGGGGGCCTGCAGATGCAGACACACCGACGCCCTGCAGGTGAAACTCCACTGCAGGCCCTGCTGTCGGCTCGGGGGGCGGGGGTGACTTTGAATGACGCAGACCCAGGTCAGACCCTTGATGATCCCCTCCCCTTCCTGAAGCACTGTGCTTGTCCACCACGTGTTCTACTGCTCGCAGCCACAGGGACCTTCTTGTGTCTGGTCGGGCGGCACTGGCTTCCAGAGCTGTCCGTTGTGACCTGGACCGCAAGGATGAACCGCAAAGATGAACCACAGGGATGAACCACAAGAATGAACTGCAAAGATGAGCTGCAACGATGAACTGCAAAGATGAACCACAAGAATGAACCACAAGGATGAACCGCAAGGATGAACCACAAAGATGAACCGCAAAGATGAGCCACAAGGATGCACCCAAGCCAACAGCCTGGAGCCGTACAGGCGGCCAGCACCCAAGCCTCTAGTCCTGCTTTAAGCTGTGGAGCCAGAAAAAGCCTTGTAGAGCCTGAAACTGTGAAAGTCCTGGAAGAAAACAGGCAGTGTGTTCTTGGACATGGACTTTAGCAGTACAGTAGGCCTCTTAACACAGGCTTGAGCTGGGCACGTCCACTCTCACACGGGCGGTTTTCGGCAGCAGATGCTACGTGGGGTGAATTCTCAGAGGTAGAACCATGGATACTGAGGGCTGACAGGGGGGTGTATGCAGAGGGTTGAGGCCCCTAACCCCCGATTTTTTCGAGGGTCACCTCTATCATTCTGGATCTGTCTCCTCAGGCAAGGAGAACAAGCAGAAATTAACAAATGGGACCTAATAAAACCAAAAAGCTTTTGCACAGCAAAGGAGACTTATCAAAAAAACAAAAGGCTACCTACTGAATGGAAGAAAATATGTCTGGTAAGAAGTCAGTATCCAAAATACACACAGAAGTCATACAACTGAACATGAAAAAACAAACAGCTTGATTGAAAATGGAGCAGAGGACCTGAAGAGACATCTTTCTAAAGAAACACACAGACATGTGAAAACATGCTCAGTGTCACTAGTCATCAGGGAAACACACACCAAAACCACAATGACATACTACCTCACACCTATCAGAGGCTATTACAAAAAAGACAAGAAATAAATCAACAGAGGAGTGGAGAAAGAAGATGTGGGGTGTGTGTGTGTGTGTGTACATACAATGTGTATATATATATATATATATATATATATATACACACACACACACACACACACACAATGGAATACTACTCAGCCACAGTAAGAAAGAAATCCTGTTATTTGCAACAATACAGGTGGATCTGGAGGGTATTGTGCCAAGTGAAATAAGTCAGACAGAGAAGGACAAATGCTACATGATTTCACTTACATATGGAATCTTAGAAATACAGCAAACTAGGGGATAGAACAAAAAAGAAACGGACACATGATATAGACCACAAACTAGCAGTTACCAGCGGGGAGAGGGATGGGGAAGGGGTGGGATGGGGTAGAGGAGTAAGAGGTACAAGCTACTGGGTAGAAAGCAGATTAGCTACAGACTGTGCTATACACACAGGGAATATAGCCAGTTGTTCAGTCGCTCAGTCCTGTCCGACTCTGCGACCCCATGGACATCAGGCTTCCCTGTCTTTCACCACCGTCTGGAACTTGTTCAAACGAATGTCTATTGAGTCAGTGATGCCATGCTACCATCTCATCCTCTGTCGTCCCCTTCTCCTCCTGCCTTCAATCTTTCCCAGCATCAGGGTCTTTTTCTGAGTCAATTCTTCGCATCAGGTGGCCAAAGTATTGGATCTTCAGCTTCAGCATCAGTCCTTCCAATGAATATTCAGGACTAATTTCCTTTAGGATGGACTGGTTGGATTTCATTGCAGTCCAAGGGAATATCAAGAGTCTTCTCCAACACCACAGTTCAAAAGCATCAATTCTTCAGTGCTTAGCTTTCTTTATAGTCCAACTCTCACATCCATACATGACCACTGGAAAAACCATAGCTTTGACTTTATGGACCTTTGTCGGTAAAGTAATGTCTCTGCTTTTTAATATGCTCTCTAGGTTTCTCATAGCTTTTCTTCCAAGGAGCAAGCATCTTTTAATTTCATGGCTGCAGTCACCAACTGTAGTGATTTTGGAGCCCAAGAAAATAAAGTTTGTCACAGTTTCAATTGTTTCCCCATCTATTTGCCATGAAGTGATGGGACCAGATGCCATGATCTTAGTTTTTTTAATGTTGGTTTTTAAGCCAACTTTTTCATCCTCCTCTTTCACCTTCATCAAGAGGCTCTTTAGTTCTTCTTCACTTTCTCCCATTAGGGTGGTGTCATCTGCATATCTGAGGTTATTGATATTTCTCCGAGCAGTCTTGATTCCAGCTTGTGCTTCATCCAACCCAGCATTTCACATGATGTACTCTGCAAAGAGATCAAACCAGTCAATCCTAAGGAAATCAGTCCTGAATATACATTGGAAGGACTGATGCTGAAGCTGAAGCTCCAATACTTTGGCCACCTGATGCAAAGAATCGACTCATTAGAAAAGATCTTGATGGTGGCAAAGATTGAGGGCAGGAGGAGAAGGAGAAGACAGAGGATGAGATGGTTGGATGGCATCACTGACTCAATGGACATGAGTTTGAGCAAGCTCTGAGAGTTGGTGATGGCCAGGGAGGCCTGGCGTGCTGCAGCCCGTGGTGTTGCAGAGTCGGACACGACTGAGCGAGTGAACTGAACTGAACTCTGCATATGAGCTAAATAAGCAAGGTGACAGTACACAGCCTTGACGTACTCCTTTTCCAATTTTGAACCAGTCCATTGTTCCATGTCCAGTTCTAACTGTTGCTTCTTGACCTGCATACAGATTTCTCAGAAGGTGGGTAAGGTAGTCTGATATTCCCATCTCTTGAAGAATTTTCCACAGTTTGTTGTGATCCACACACTCAAAGGCTTTAGTGTAGTCAATGAAGCAGAAGTAGATGTTTTTCTGGAATTCTCTTGCTTTTTCTGTGATCCAGCAGATGTTGGCAATTTGATCTCTGGTTCCTAAATATATAGCCAATATCTATAACAACTGTAAATGGAGTACATAATCTTTAAAAATTATGAATCCTGTTGCACACCTATAACTTATATAATATTGTACATCAGCTATACATCTTTTTTAAAAAGACAGGAAATAAGTGTTGGTGAAGATGTGGAGAAGAGGGGAACCCTTGTGCACTGTTGGTGGGAACGTACATTGGTGCAGCAGCTGTGGAAAATAAAACGGAGGTTCTTCAAGAAACCAAAAATAGACTCAATATTCTATGGCGTATGTGGGAAAAGAATCTAAAAAAGAGTAGACGTATATATGTGTGTCAGATTCACTTTGCCCTACACCAAAAACTAACAAAACATTGTAAATCAACTCCAATTTTAAAAATCTAAAATAAAAAAATAAAAAATCTAAAATAAATAAAATTTAAACTAGAGCTACCATATGGTCCAGAATTCCACTCCTGGGTGTTTACCCACAGAAAACAGAAACACTGACGGGAAAGGATGCACGCACCCCCATGCTCAACAGCAGCGTTCCTTACAACAGCCAGAGCAGAAACACCCCCTTAGTGCCCGTCAGGAGACGAGGAGGTGGAGAAGATGTGTACATACCGTGGGGTTATCGCCTCGCTGATGGGTTATTGGAGTGATAAACGTCTAGTCAGCTTCAAAGGACGGACATTTTCATCCAAGAATGGAAATCACAGGAATGACATTAACCAAGCAGTCATGTTATTTCTAAAAGATCCCAAAACTCAGGCTTTCAGAAGCAAGAGGAAAAAGAGCTGTTTATGGAAGTCGCTCGTGGAGGCTTTGGGCTGTCCTGAGCGCCCACCCTGGAGCCCCTCACTGTCTGGACTGTGTGCTAGGCGAGGATACCCCAGCTGTTTTGGTGATTCTATTTTTGTTCATTTTCATAATTTAATTTTTATAAAGTATATTCTAATGGTTAGCATTGTACCTTTTAAAGTTTTGAAGTGGGTTCAATGAGATACTAGGGTTATCGGTGCGTTGTTCATGGTATGTCCTGTATTTAGTATTCGTCTCTGCCTGTAAATGTTTGCACATCACTTTGTCCATATTAAGATAAAATTATAAGGCTGAGCACCTCACGAGTGCAAAGAAAAGACTCGCCCCTGGGGGTCACAGAACTGCAGGAAGGGACGGTTCTGTGGCCTGTGTGCAGTGTTATTTGCCGTGGGTGAGGACCCATAGGGGAGCGGCCGGCCCTCTGAAGATCGGAGCCCCGTGCTGGCTGTGTTCCCTTCTGTTTTCCCCGTCTCTCTGTCCGAGTTTCTGCTCTCAGGAGCGCTGTGAACTTGCTGTCTTTCATTGCAGGGGCCAGACGCCTGCTGAGTCAGACTTCCAGGTGCTGGAAATTGCCCGGAAGCTGGACATGTACGGCATCAGGTTTCACTCGGCTTCTGACCGGGAGGGGGCCAAGATCAAGCTGGCCGTGTCGCACACCGGCGTCCTGGTGTTCCAGGTAGGTGGGCGGGGCGCTGTGCTCACCTGCGCTGGGAAGTCTGTGGCTGAGTCGCCTCAGACTGGGAGGCAGAGTGTTGCGGACTGTGTGATCCGGCCTGTCCCCCTAGAGAGGTCGTTTCCTAGTCCTGCACTCTGTCCCGGAGCCCACTCTTCCTTCTAATGCTGTCCGGAAGGTCCCCTGACCCGGAACCTCACCCCGGGGCTCAGAGCGCCCTGCAGGCAGCGTCTCCCCTGGGGCTGGGGTGCCACAGTCCCACTGACTGTGGGAGCCAGAGCTGCCTGGAGAGCCTCTGGGGCGGCCCTGTGGTCCTGGGGGTGTCTGCCCCCATTGGGCGTGAGTGTGGGAGGAGACGCCGGGAGGGCCCCGAGCTGTGTTTCTGGTGATGTGTCTGCGTGCTGGGCTGGCTAAAGTGCCCGGGAGCAGCTGTGGGCGCCGGCCTGGGCTCCAGAGCCCTCCCTGGCACGGGCCCTGCCCGGGACCTTGGCTCCTCGGGGAACGCGGCCACTGGCTGCAGCTCTTCCCTCCGTGGCCAGCTTCACGCCATCCCCCAAGGCGGTCGGTCTGAGCCCAGCCTCCCCGACCAAAAACGCTTTGTTTCACCATCTTTGCCTTTCTCTTTTAAAATTAGGCATCAAATTTCAGTTTCCTGTCAGAAAGAATGTCAGGCTTGCACTTAAGAGTCAGCAGTGTGGCCTCCCCCGAGCGTCCAGTCCCTGCCATGCCCAGGCCCGACACGCACGCCCTCTGCCGGCGGCCCCTGCCCAGCACGCGGGGGCAAAGGCAGGCCTCAGAGTCGAGGCCGTCATTCTTCCAGAAAAGGGCAAGTCATCTATGACCAGAAGAAATTGCAAAAGCAAAGGATTAAAGAGTTGGGTTAAAGGCGGCAGATTGAATCCATTTCCACTCCCTCAGAATCCCCACTGGAATGACAGTGAAGGGATATTTTAAACTTTTCATCAGTAAGACCCAAGGATGGAAAGGAGAGCAGAGAGCAGGGGCTGTCAGCCGAGTCCGGGAGCTTGGAAGGCCAGTGGGATGACGGCGGGGTGCAGGAGTGGAGCTGAGAGCGGCAGGCTGGAGGCAGGACAGTTAGAGCGCCGCCCCGCCCCGGGCGAGGGCCTCCCCTTGGAGGTGGAGGGGAGTGCCTGTGCATGGGCTTCTGACCCCGCGGTCCCCACTCCAGCCCCGGGAGGTGCCGGCCAGCCCTTCAGAGCCTCCTCTTCAAAGACTCATCGCAGACACGTTCAGACGATCTGAAAGCACTGAGAGTCAGAAGAGCACGCAGAGTCCCACGGGATTGTCACACGGGTTCTCACCGGCCTGTGTTCTCACTCCCTGCCCCACCCCCCACAGATCACATATACAAGTACCAGCACGTGTACACATACACAGACATGCAGAACACATGTACACATGCTGACACATAAATATACACAGACCACATACACACAAACCAGACACATCGACACAGACCACATCCACACACAGAGACACATACACACATACACATACACACAAACACAGAGATATATAGATACACAGACAGATCTACGGATACACAGACACATAAACACACAGACATACAAACCACATATATACCCACATACATACGTGATACACATGTCACAGACATACACACATACAGACCATGCATACACGGAGACACACACATATACAAATACATATATACAGAAACAGACCACATACACACAGAGACACACACAGAGACACACATATACAGAGATACATATATATATATACACAGATACACCTACAGACACACATATACACAGAGACACATACACAAAGACACAGCATACAGACCACATATATACACACAGACACACACAGAGAAGCATATACACACATTGACACACGACACACACACAGATGCCCAGAAACATGCACATATACATATATGTATGTGTGAGAAGCCGCTGCCGTCATGTCTGATGCTGTGTGACCCCATGGACTGTAGCCCGCCAGCCTCCTCTGTCCATTGGATTCTCCAGGCAAGAATACTGGAGTGGGTTGCCATGCCCCCCTCCAGGGGATCTTCCCTACCCAGGAATAAAGCCCACATCTCTTAGGTCTTTTACATCGGCAGGTGGGTTCTTTACCACTAACACTACCTGGTAAGCTGTATACGCACAGACACATATATAAACACAGGCACACACCTATACACACACCGAGAGACGTGTACACACATACACACAGAGAGACACATGTATACACTCAGATACACACATACACAGAGACACACACATTTCTACACACACAGGCCACATACATATACACAGACACACACACACATTTTTCTGAAGCCTTGAGGGTAAGGCGCCCTCACAGGGCCCTTTCCGCTGAGCGTGTGCTCCCTAAGAAGAGACCACCCCCTGTCGTGACTGCTGTGCGGCCATCACTGAGGCCCCTGATTCTTGAATCTACGGACCTGTCCCCATTGTTATCACCTGGCCAGTCGCGTCCATGCAGCTCATTTTCCTGCAGGACAGGGTCCAGTCTCGAAGCGGCTGTAGCATTCAGCAGTCATGCTGCAGACGCCTGCGATCCAGAACACTGTACCAGTGTGTGGGCCATTTCCTGCGGCTAGAATCAGCTGGCGGTGCCCAGCTGGGCCACATGCAGGTGACACGTGACCCCTCGGGTCACCTGGGGCACCACCCGGCCTCCCCAGTGAAGCGAACGCTGACCGCCGTGCTCTCTGCTGCTTCGCCTGTGTCGTTACTGGTCTTTCTCTTAACTCATGCGCATCCTTGGAGAGATGCTGCACCTGTCCAGTGCCCTTAGACTAGCGTCCCCTGGCGGTGCCTGGCCAGGGTTTACCAGATGCTCCCTGACTGGCACACCTGGGGCCTCCTGCTAAACTCAGACGGTGACAGGGAGAACCAGGAACTTGAGGAAAACCTTCTTTCCAAGGAAGATGGTATTTGCAGGGCAGGTGCCAAACCGTGGGAAAAAGAGACTCAGAGAAGCAGAAACTCGGGGCTGGAGATGGTGCAAAGGCAGGAAGCCTCTTTACCCCATGCCTCGTCCCCAAGAACAGGGCACAGCTTCAGCACGAGCCTAAACTCTCTCATGAGTTTTGATTCTGGCCTGGTTTGTCATAGTAAAACATTGGTAATTAACTGTTAGAAAGCTGGTTATGCAAGTGGTGCTGCATCCACATTATGGGGTAACCTGCCACCTGTCCAGAGGACACAGATACTCTGTCCTAATAAACGAGACGGTCTCTGAGATGTGCTGTTATATGGAGAGAGTATTCAGCTGTGTGTGTGACTTCCTGCCACTTGTGGGGAAGAGAAGAAATCACACACACACACACACACAATTTATTCCCTGCGGAAAAGCCGGTGTTTACCGCCCCTCGGATGGTGATTAGAGTCAGCAGGCTTTCAGAAGAGGGGAAAGGGGAATGCTAAATCTGGACTCATTTTGGTGCCTTCTTAGATATTGCTGTATTGCATGTTCTTTCTTTTTTTAGTTTAAAAGTCCCATGGACTGTAGCCCGCCAGCCTCCTCTGTCCATTGGATTCTCCAGGCAAGAATACTGGAGTGGGTTGCCATGCCCCCCTCCAGGGGATCTTCCCTACCCAGGAATAAAGCCCACATCTCTTAGGTCTTTTACATCGGCAGGTGGGTTCTTTACCACTAACACTACCTGGTAAGCTGTATACGCACAGACACATATATAAACACAGGCACACACCTATACACACACCGAGAGACGTGTACACACATACACACAGAGAGACACATGTATACACTCAGATACACACATACACAGAGACACACACATTTCTACACACACAGGCCACATACATATACACAGACACACACACACATTTTTCTGAAGCCTTGAGGGTAAGGCGCCCTCACAGGGCCCTTTCCGCTGAGCGTGTGCTCCCTAAGAAGAGACCACCCCCTGTCGTGACTGCTGTGCGGCCATCACTGAGGCCCCTGATTCTTGAATCTACGGACCTGTCCCCATTGTTATCACCTGGCCAGTCGCGTCCATGCAGCTCATTTTCCTGCAGGACAGGGTCCAGTCTCGAAGCGGCTGTAGCATTCAGCAGTCATGCTGCAGACGCCTGCGATCCAGAACACTGTACCAGTGTGTGGGCCATTTCCTGCGGCTAGAATCAGCTGGCGGTGCCCAGCTGGGCCACATGCAGGTGACACGTGACCCCTCGGGTCACCTGGGGCACCACCCGGCCTCCCCAGTGAAGCGAACGCTGACCGCCGTGCTCTCTGCTGCTTCGCCTGTGTCGTTACTGGTCTTTCTCTTAACTCATGCGCATCCTTGGAGAGATGCTGCACCTGTCCGGTGCCCTTAGACTAGCGTCCCCTGGCGGTGCCTGGCCAGGGTTTACCAGATGCTCCCTGACTGGCACACCTGGGGCCTCCTGCTAAACTCAGACGGTAACAGGGAGAACCAGGAACTTGAGGAAAACCTTCTTTCCAAGGAAGATGGTATTTGCAGGGCAGGTGCCAAACTCGTGGGAAAAAGAGACTCAGAGAAGCAGAAACTCGGGGCTGGAGATGGTGCAAAGGCAGGAAGCCTCTTTACCCCATGCCTCGTCCCCAAGAACAGGGCACAGCTTCAGCACGAGCCTAAACTCTCTCATGAGTTTTGATTCTGGCCTGGTTTGTCATAGTAAAATATTGGTAATTAACTGTTAGAAAGCTGGTTATGCAAGTGGTGCTGCATCCACATTATGGGGTAACCTGCCACCTGTCCAGAGGACACAGATACTCTGTCCTAATAAACGAGACGGTCTCTGAGATGTGCTGTTATATGGAGAGAGTACTCAGCTGTGTGTGTGACTTCCTGCCACTTGTGGGGAAGAGAAGAAATCACACACACACACACACACACACACACACACAATTTATTCCCTGCGGAAAAGCCGGTGTTTACCGCCCCTCGGATGGTGATTAGAGTCAGCAGGCTTTCAGAAGAGGGGAAAGGGGAATGCTAAATCTGGACTCATTTTGGTGCCTTCTTAGATATTGCTGTATTGCATGTTCTTTCTTTTTTTAGTTTAAAAGTACACTATTGCTAAAAGTGTTAACCATTATCTGAGCCTTCAGAGTCATAATCCGCTTGCAGTGGTAATGTCAAAGATCACTGATGACAGATACCTTAGCAAATATAATAATGAAGAGGTTTGACATACAGTGAGAATTACCCAAGTGTGGTACAAAGCAGTGAGTGAATGCTGTTGGGGAAACGGTGCTCCTGGACTTGCTCAGAGCAGGGCTGCCAGCGGCCTTCAGTGTGTGAGACCTTCTCCAAGAAGCCTCAGAAGTAGAAGAAAAGCCCACACCTTGAAGCAAGAGCCAGGCAGGCACAAGGACATGGGGCCAGCGTGGCGCAGGCTGGTGGCAGGAGGCCTGGGAGACGCGGCTGAGAGCTCCACAAAGCAGAGGGAGAGATGGAGAGGGAAGCAGAGGGAGCTCCCGCAGCGTCTGGGCGGCCCAGCATCCCAGGATTCCAGAGGCTGGACCCAAACGGCAGCAAGGAATTGTTACAGACGTTCCAGGAGGAGAAGCGTCCAAACCTCCAGGCACGGGTTTCCAGACAGAAGGTGCCCACAGGCCTTATTCCGAATGAATGGAGATGGGGCAGGACTTGTCTGTCTGAGACATCAGAACACAGATCAGAGGGCTTCCTGGGAGGAGGTGGGAGGCGTGAAATGCCACCGGGCTGGACGCTGGAGGATGGAGGTTCTAAATGTGAAAAAAAGTCATTTCCAGTCCAGAATTCTGTGACTGTGCAGCCGGTCTCCTACCCAAGAAGAAAGTAAAAGCATTTCCAGACATGCCGCTTTTCAGAAAACTCAGTCCCCGCGCAGCCTTCGGGAGTTCGACGGTGGGGAGAGGCTCTGGGTGGGAGCTGAGGACACCGCGACATGTTGGGGAGGGAGAGGGGTGGGCCATGCTTGGATGTGGAGAACCTGTGTCAGCAGAAGGACATCAGGGGCTCCAGGGAAGACGGCCCAGAAAGAAACAGACCTGACCGGAGAGTTCCCTGGAGCTCCAGTGGTTAGGACCACTTGCATGTGTGTGTGCTCAGTCGTGTCCGACTCTGAGACCCCATGGATTGTAGCCCATCAGGCTCCTTTGTCCTTGGGATTTCCCAGGCAAGAATACTGGAGTGTGTTGCAGTTTCCTCCTCCAGGGGATCTTCACTTTGAATACTGGAGTGGGTTGCCATGCCCCCCTCCAGGGGATCTTCACTTCCCGGGATCAAACCCAGGAAGGGTGGACTCCTGTTCGACCCCTGGATCCCAGGTTCAATCCCCGGTCGGGGAACTGAGATGCTGCAAGCCCTGTGACACAATCAGAAAAAAGCCCATCAGTGACGTCATGGGCGAGATCATACTGGAGAGCTTTAAAGTTCTGCAGGGAGGTTTTGCGCTGAACCGGTGATGGGTACACAGAAAATTAAGCAAATGGAAAGAGGCAGTTAGTAACTCTGGGAGAATTACAGGTAAAGGAGGAAAATACAGTTGTAATCCACCCTTGCCCAGTGTGCGAGCAGCACACACATGATCAACAGCACAGATCAGATTTGGGGGCGCCCGTGGGGAGGGGTGGACGCGGTCCCGTGGTGTGCGGTCCAGGCAGACAGCAGCGGGAGCCAGCTGTGTGGACCTTGGCGGACAGGCCCTCTTTCCACCTCCCTGAGCCCCGCGTCCAGAGCCGGGAGCTGAGGCGTGGCCTTTTCTTTTGTTGCTGTGTTGAAAGTTTGCTGGTTTCGTGGATGGAGCTGAGACGCGTCCAGTGTCTCGCTGTGAGCCGCAGGTGGAGTGACTGCCTGTCGGCCGCGCTGAGAGGTGGGAGCTGACATTTCAGTCCAGAACTCAGGGACATCTCTTAACTCAGGAACGCAAAGAATTGAGACGGAATTCACAGAACGTGAAGACCACCCTTCAGAAGCATGAGTCAGTGTTTTCAGTACTAACATACTCGCAGAATCATGCGGCCGTGGCCCCAATTCCAGAACACGTCAACGCCGCCCTCCCCGGGCCCTGGGCCCCGCCCGCTTCACGACCCTCACGCCTCTGTCACGTGCCTCGCGCGGCCCCCGCCCCTCCGTCGCGTGCCTCGCGCGGCCCCCGCGCCTCCGTCACACGTGCCTCGCGCGGCCCCCGCGCCTCCGTCACACGTGCCTCGCGCGGCCCCCGCGCCTCCGTCGCGTGCCCTGCGCGGCCCTCGCGCCTCTGTCCGCGGCGCCCCCTCACACCGCCCGGGGACCGGCCTGGGGCCTCTGCTGCCCCTCCCTTCTGAGCGCGTCCAAGCCCCCTCCCTCCTTACGGCTAAAGTGCTGGGCTGCTTTTCAGTATCTCCGGCAGGAAAGCATTCTCCATCTTGCCGTTCCCCCATCCTGAGTTTGTGGAAAAGAGTAAATGGTCACAAAGGCCAAGGACAGAAAAGAAAATGCCAGAAGGTGCTTCCATACATTCAGAGTTTTTATTCTGAAAGTTTTCAAGCTCAGAGAAGTACAAGAAGGTACCGTGAGCCCCTTCGCCAGGCACCCCCACCCGGGTTCCGCAGGCGCCCCCGCCTCATGATTTCAGACGCTCCCACCCAAGCTGAGCTGCCCCGCCTGGCCAGGGTCTGCCCGTGATCGTCAGTGGGAAGTGCCTCCCTTCTCTCCTTGTCCTCATGGCCGCAGCGCCCCGGAAGGGCCGAGGCCAGTCACTCGTGACGTGGGCCTGCCCAGCCCGGCTGCTGCTGAGACGAGAGCCTGTGCGGCGAGCCCCAGACGGGAGGCTGTGAGCGGCGCAGCCCCGGTGGCATCGTCTGTGTGTGGGGGGCGGCGCCCGGCGCCCGCTTGGAAGGCGCTGACAGGCCTCTTCACACACTCAGCAGTGTCCGACGTGTGCGGCCCGTGGACTGCAGCCCACCAGGCTCCTCCGCCCATGGGGCTTTCCAGGCGAGAGTACTGGAGCTGGGTGCCATGTTTCACAAGCTGTCTTTGTTTGTTTGCTGCGCTGCGGCTTTCTCCAGCTGTAGTGAGCGGGACTCCTGTTCACTGCTGCGCCCGGGCTCGGGAGTGGCAGTCCGTGGGCTTAGTTGCTTGGTGGCATATGGGATCTTCCCAGACTAGGGAGGGAACCCACGGCCCCTGCATTGGCAGGCGGGTTCTTATCCGCTGCACCACCAGGGGAGCCCGAAGGAGACGTTTTGTCCTCTGTAATTAGTATTTGTGGGGAGATACTTAAGACTGAATTTCCCTCATGGTTGCCAGAAGGCTGCTTTTTAAATTCCACTGTTCAGGCTCCTGGAGAGGTTTTCTCATCTGTTTTACTTCATTGCTGTGGACACATGGGTTTGTCTCCTGATCTTACTATTACACGAGTTGTAATTCAGGTTGTAATCTGATATTTGATCTTTAGTCATTATTTCTTTTGATCTTTAAATTGCCCCCCATCCGGGCGTCCCTTCAGGTGACCTCTGTGCCCTTTGACCTCTCCCTGTCCTTTGTCCTTTCTGAGCACTTACTTTCTCACACCGTAACGTGCTCAAGGTTCTTGTGTTCCTTGCCTGCCCCATCCTGGAAGAGCAGAGTCCCAGTCTCCAAGGGGGAGGAGAGTGCTTAGAAGCCAGGGTCCAGACCCTGGCGCTCACTCTGTCTGGACAGTCAGGAGTTCAGCCCCGGCTCTGGGTCCCCTCCGGCACCCCCGGGATCACTCCATCCTCCTTGCTTTCCTTCGCTGAGAAACTCAGCTCTGCTCCTGCCCTGCCCAGCCACCCCCAGACCCCTCCCAAGCACTGTCCTCACTGGGGTGGCTATAAAATGTTCACTGTTAACACTGACAGAAAAAAAGTTTGTATCAAAGCTTTATCAGAGCAATAAAGTGTTCTTCCTAAAACAGATTCGTGTGTTTAGTGTTGACATTTTAATTGAGGCATTCCGAATGTAACGACTATATAATGAGTTCTAAATATAATTTGCTTCTGAATATAACGCTGTGCTTTTTGGCAAGGATGTAACTCTGTTTCATGGGAAAGCATGTGTGTGCATCTGGATTACACGTGTGTCATTACTCAGCATCCATCTCTTGGATTTTAGAGCAGCACCAGGATCAACACTTTCAACTGGTCCAGGCTCCGAAAGCTCAGCTTCAAGAGGAAAAGGTTTCTCATCAAGCTTCACCCGGAGGTCCATGTGAGTCAACATGAGAACTCTTGAAGTTAAGGGAACGTTCCCTCTGCTCAGTTGTTAATAACTTGTGTATCACTTCAGCATAACACACAGGAGAACGTAAGGACAGGATCGCTGGCTGGGGCTGGGCTCTGGGGAGACCTGCCCGGGGGGCCCGCCCGCAGGGTATGCCGGCAGCCAGAGGTGGCTGGGCGGCCTGAGAGCGTCCGCGGCTGACGGGCTCCCAGGCCACTGAGAACCGTAGCTTCCCTGCAGCTGCTCCTCCTTTGGGTGCCAAAGCTGAGGTACAGAGTGTTTGTGCAGCAAATCAGTGCAGCGTGAACAGAGGGTGTTTCCAGTGTTCTCATGTGTCTGTCTCCGAAACTGACCCTTCGATAGTTCTAAATGAGGAAGCCTTGACTTTCAGAAAAGGAATGTTCCTTTCTCTTGTCCATAAGTTGATAACTAAATTTGTCCATAAGTTAATAATCAAATATGAATTTACTGAAATTAGTAAAAAGGGACAAACGTAAATGTCTATACAGTCTGATGGGAGGAAAAATCAAACACTTGAGACAGTTCTAAGATGTTCATGGTGTTACATGCCCACAGCGCCAGGAAGCTGGGAGACGGCTCAGCCAGCCGCTGTGGCAGGGGGGCCGGGGGCTGCGGCTCAGCCCCAGCCGGGAGCCGAGAGCCTGGGCCAGCCCGGGAGGGGCCGCCCCTAAGCTTCTCAGAGGCACTGGATTAGCGGGGGCTTTGTCAAACCAGGGTCACTGCGACCTGCAAGTGTGTTTATTTTGTGCAGAAAGTGTGGACAGATAGCTTAACTGTTTGTTATTCAAATATTTCTTCTAAGAATGAAAGAGAAGTATAAAGAATGCCAAGAACATGTACAAATGCAAGTAAAAGGCTAGTTTTTTTCTTCTACAAGTTAAAAAAAATGTTTTTGGCAGTTATTCCACAGAGACAGGGAAATAAGAGAATTAGTGCAAAATTCTGAACTGTCTCTATTTCTACACCTGGCGAGGTTATGTTTTATATCGATTCCTAAGCACTTAGATTTTTAGGATTAAATATAGGAGTTAAAGTATTGATATTATACTCTTTTGTAAGGTAATTTGGTAATAAACATCACAATGTCCAAAAATGTGCATTGTTTTTGAGTTCAGTATAACATTTCTAGGAATTTATGCTAAGGAATAACCATGAGAGATGAGGCAGTAGTTTCTTCATGGTGATGTTTGTGAGCCTGAAAACCTTTGTGCCCTGCTCATCCAAAACACCCTCAGAAAACCCACAGGAAAGTGACTGAGTGACGACAGGTAAATGTGTCAGCCAGCACAAAAAGATGCCTTGGTTTCCTCTAACATGGGGAAAGGTTTCAAAGAGAAACTTCAAAATGTTAGCCCTTGTGATTTAGATGATGGCACTTCTCTGATATTTCTACAAAGAAATATACCACTATATTTTTCTCCTCTCAAATATAAATGGAACCAGAAGTCTATACACAACTTTCAGAAAGAAAATCTTCCTAGTTTTTAACTTTGGAGTAGCCTGTGTCTTCCTAGATTTTCTTCCTGCTGTAGTTACTGGAACCTTTGCCTTTCACTCGTAGGGGCCCTACCAGGACACCCTGGAGTTTGTGTTGGGTAGCAGAGATGAATGTAAGAACTTCTGGAAGATCTGTGTGGAGCATCACACCTTCTTCAGACTCTTTGATCAGCCGAAGCCGAAAGCTAAAGCCGTCCTCTTCAGCAGAGGCTCCTCCTTCAGATACAGGTGGGCGGCCGCACCGGGGGCAGCTGTTGGCCTTGTCGTGGCGCCAAGAACGCAAACGTCCAGTCAGGGCGAGGGTGGTTCACGGGCAGAGAACTCCGTGCGGGCTGCAGCCACGGAGCCACGGGGGACGCTCAGCACACAGAGTGGTGGGAAGAGAGGCCTGCGGACAGGTGTCTGCAACGTTGGTCCTGCTGTTAATGCAAAGCGTGCTGTTTCAGCGCAAGTGTAAACTTAAGACAGAGGCTGGGCAAGTCTTACTTTTCCTTTGCTTCTGTGAAAAATTAGTGCTGTGTACTACTGTTTATTCTTTCCTGTAAAATCTGAATTTCATTCGCAGTGGAAGAACTCAGAAACAACTTGCTGATTATGTCAAAGACGGTGGGATGAAGAGGGTTCCGTATGAAAGGTAAATTCTCTCACCTTCGTAACACAGAATGTGGGTGTTTAAGTCAGTGTTTTAGGTACCCTAACCTTTGCTCGAGTAAAAGGCACTTCAGCTACATCAGTGCATGTCTTGACACTTGAGTTCTCTTTCTTCTGTTTCATTTAAAGGTAATGGTTTGCGTTTTACTGTCATTTAAGTTGTTCAGATGCAGATGACACTTTTTGCTTCCAGTCTGCCTCACTCCACTCAGATGTGGTGTTTTTACAGAGGATGGTTTTCATAGTATTAGACTTTGGATCTGAAAATTCATGTTGTTTCTGTGAGTGTGGATCTCTTCCTTAATTTCACCTCTTCTGGACATGTATTTTTGTTTGCATCCTTTTTTCTGTCATCCTGCCATTTCTAGTTAGATGCCTCAGGGCATGTTACAAACCCTTGGCCACATTTTCATGTGAGTCCTTCCTCACGGGTGCAGCACATGCTGCTTTAGAAACGGGGCCTGCACCCTAACGCTGTGTGCTCTAGGAGCTCCTCTGATGATGCGATTTTCATGAAAATGCACTGAAGATGAGAAAAAAAAAAGCGGTGGGGTCAGGCAAGTGGGGCGTGGGGCTCACTGCCTGTCCTCTGTTTTCAGGAGACACAGCAAGACCCGGATGTCTCTCCGTGCCCTAAAAGTGGACTTGCCACGGCAGGTTAGTCCTTCTGCGTAAACGCACCCGATGTAGGCGCCGGTCCCCTTTTAGGGAATAGCCTGGCATAGTTGCAACAGGAGTCCTAAAGTTAGTCTCACCATTTACATGGAAGTTCCAGTCCTGGGACCCTGTTTGCAGAAAGGAGTCCTGAGTGAAGAGGGAGCTTTGTGGGTGGACACGTGTCACAGTGTTGCTTGTGACCCCAGCGACCGCCATCCGTGCTGGTCTGGGTGTGGCCACCTGTTGGGGGACTCAACAGCCACTAAGAATCTCATTTCAGAAGCGTGGAGCCCGAGCGGGACATGTTCAGGAAGCATTAGCAGTGACACTGGCAGTTTGCACAGTGACCCGTGGAGAAGCTTCTTCCTGATTTAAAAAGACAACTGGGTGCTTGAGGGACTAACCCTCACAGCAGCAAATGTTATCTCCCAGTGATCGGGCCCCAGGCAGTTTTTATCTTCTTGTGCTTCTCATCTGACTTGGTTTTCTGCAGTGGACACAGTGCTTTTTGTTGTCAGGAAAACAGCTGAGAAATACAACTTTTATAAAAGTGTGAAGTGATAATAATGCCAGCTTGTGGAGGGGTGGGGGGGGCGGTGATTTGCTCAGTGAAGCTGTGTTCGCTCAGTGGACAGTTTGCTATTACGTTAAAGGTAAAAAGCAAGAAGCAAATGTGTGCACCTGAGTATTTGGCATGACCACAGCTACTAAGCCAGGCGCACACAGGCCCCCACACATGTGCCACAGGTGACATGTGGCCACGGTGCCGGATGCGAGGCTGGCGTCGCCGGCTCCGTGTCACGATCTGCCTCGCGGTCGTCTCCCCCGCCTTCATGCTTGCCTGTTGACTGCCACATGCGAGCCTGTTCTTACGTAGGCTCTTGCTCTTTTCATGTAATATTATTTCATAATTCTCTGTGTGCACCTGTATAGTTTCATATTTATAATTTTTTATCACTGCACAGCGTTCATTTTTGTTGCAAGTTCATCATTTATACTCTAATAGTATTTACAGAGCTCCAGTTGCAGTTCATATATTAACACTTCTGTGTCCGAAATTTTTTTTTAATTGGGTTTTGAAATAAAAACATTCTTTGACTCTTCTGGGTATGTTTTCTATTTAGGAATCCCTTGTTAAATCTTTGAAATTAAAAGAACTCACCTTTGGATACACCCAGGCATCTCATCCCCTAGCAGCCCCGGCGGGTCAGGGGCACCTTGCTAGCTGTGAGGGGCGGCTCAGCCCATCTGCAGCCACCCAGCCCCAGGGGACGCCAGTGTCCAGAGACGTCCCAGGGAACTTCAGGGTGACCAGGTGCCAAGGAGACTCGGGACTTAGTGCTTGGTGTGGTACCGAGCACGTAGAGAATAGTGGTGTCACAGGGACAGTCAACAGGCACTCCTGAGCCAACCTCAGACCACATCTGCATTCACAGAGCTTCAGTTCTGTTATTCGTAGAGGAACAGTCTGACCGTCGCCCCTGTAGGGGCCTTAAGAGGAGCGCGTGGTGGGCTCGTCTGAGCCCGGCCAGCCATGCACCTCTCCGACGTGACCTGCCATCTCACACACTCCTTCTTTCTTCTCATTCTGCCCCAGAGCCTCTCGTTCTCCGAGGGTGTGAGGACTCCTGTGACGCCGTCGCCCACAGCCACCTCCTTCTGCTCAGCCCCCGCGTCCCCTCCAGCTCCCCCGGGCCTGCATGATTCCCAGGTCGGCGGCGGCAGCTCCGAGACGGGGCCCCCCGCGCCCGGCGCCTGGTGGCCGGCTGCAGAAAAGAGCTCCGTGGTCGCGGCCCAGCCCCCCCGGCCACCTGCGCTCCAGCCTCACCAAGGTGTCGACTTCGGTTGGGGCGTGAGGAGCTGTGGCCCCCGCAGTCCTGAGGGGCTGAGCTGCCCCGCCTCAGGCCCAGATTCAGGGGGCACGGGCAGGGGGCACCCAGCTGTGGGGTGCAGTGGCCGCGGTGAGGGACCCCTGACCGGGGGCTCCTCCTCCAGGGGGGTGCACCTGTGCAGCCCACTGGGCCGCGGGGGGGGCCCGGTTTTCACATTGACAAGCGCCCAGCTGCAGGTGTCCGAGGAGTTCATAGATGATGACCCTGCAGACATCTCCTTCTTTGCCGGGGGCTCAGAGGCTTTCTCCTTCCCCTACGGCAGCCTGGGCCCAGGCTCCAGCCCGTCCAGCCCTGAGGGGTCTTCCCCGGAGGTGGCCCCCGGGGACAGGGGGCGTGGCTTTGAGTTTGAGGAGGGCAGCCTCGGCGACGCGCACCCCTCGGACACCTCGGAGCTGCTGGAGGTGAAGGCGCAGGCCAGCCTGATGCAGCGCCTGCTGAGCCCGTCCGACACCAGCTCACTCCGGAACAACCAGTCCGAGGCCAGCTCGCTGAGCAACGCGCCCCTGCCCAGCGGCCTGTCCACACACACGCCCGGCTCTGCGCCCCCGTCCGGGGCCAGCTCCATGGCCAACTTCCCCGCCTGCTCCGTGCGCTCCGAGGCCAGCTCGGCCTTCCAGTTCTCAGACATCGTGGACCAGTTAGAGCAGCTGAGCTACCCGCCCACGACGGCCGAGGACTCGAGCAGCTCAGACACGGACTCGTGGGGCTCCGAGGCTGCAGTGCCCCTAGACGTGAGCCTGTTCTTCAGTAGCCCCTTTGTGCAGGCCAGGTCGGACAGAGTCATTTTCGATTTGCAGAATAACGTGAAGAATCTGATTCCCGGAGAGCGAATTGACGAGAACGTGCCCTGAGCACTCCCGGGCTCCCTTCTGGGGCGACCCCCACCCGCCCGGGAGGCGAGGGCTCAGGTGGTAGGCTTTGGTGTAGGAAGAGATTTTGTGATCACGGCTGGGTATTCTTCATCCCCCCGATTCTCTGACTGTTGCGTTTTAAACGTCGAAAAATTAAAAGGTGCGCTTGTTACAGTGTTGAAGGCTGTGCAGCAGAGTTAGGAAGGACGCGTGTCCCCAGCCAGCCCTTGGGGCCACTCCGTCTTTGCAGCTTTATTCTCTAGCGTGCGTGCTCATTCAGCTCAATTGTGCCTTTCGAGTGGTGCTGGTTTGGATTCACGTTGGCCTTTAGTGGAACATGTGCCTTATACCTGTCTCTGCTTTTTAAGTTGAGACGCTGCCCAGGACTAATTAGGTTGTGGTTTTGTCTGATCTGGCTGCGCAAGACCCTGAGGGAGCCCCCCAAGGCCCAGGTCCTGGGGCGGGGGTGCCACAGCCTTCGTGACTCTGACCCCGGGGCCGCTGTGCCTGGGGGGGCGGTGGGTTAGCCTGCGATGGAGACGGGCCGTGTCCTCTCCGCCTGCCTGGGGGGGGCCACTCAGTGTTCGGTTCAGGGAAGGCAGAACCAGGCACAGCAGCCAGGGCTGACGGGGACCTGCTCCCTGTGGAGACCCGGCACCCGCGGCCACGCTGAGCTGTGCGGGCTCCACTTTGTAAGAACGCTGGCTCCTGCCTCGGGCCAGGTGCGTGCTGGACGCAGCTGCTCCAGCTCCAACAGAGCCCACCCCCGATGTGTGGTCTTGAGTTCCAGCCGGGCGTGTGCGGACAGGTGAGGGGGCCGCACCCCATGCCCCGAGGATGTGGCTGGCCATGGGGAGAGACCTCGGCGTTGTTTGTCACTGGGTCCGTGGCCAAGTTTTGTGCTCCTTTCCCGCTGCACCTGGTGGAACAGCCATGTTTACAGGTCAGTTTTCTTCTGAAAGTCGAGTTCCCGCGTGGGCAGGGGCCTGTTGACGATGCCATGAGGAGCTGCCCAAGTGTCTCTGCAGGTGTGGGCATCTTCCGGCGCTGGTGGCACCGGCAGCCTCCGCTGACGTGTCGGTGCTTCGCCTGCACACTCCTGCCGGGAGCGCGGCCCCAACTCTGCTTCCGGGGACGCTCCCTTCCATCAGCTCTCATGCTGGCCAGGCCGGCTGCACAGAGGCGGGTGCTGTGCACCCACGTGCCTTCTCGTGTCACGGGAATCCCCGCAGCCCTTCTCCCAGGTAACCTGTGTTTCTAAGACTGTGGTTGGTAATGATCGAGCTGTGGGCAGTAAAAGCTGTGCAGACAGCCTGCTGTGAAAGCCCTTGGCTCTTCCTGCGGTCGTCTCAGCCAAGTCATGGCGATTTCCAACGCAGACACATCTCCCAATGCCGTGAGGGTGGCTGAATGCCCGGCAGGCTACACTTGATCCTCCAGGCACTCGGGCCACAACCCCGTGGCACGACGCGGACACCAGGTCTGTGTCTGCAGGGCCCGCCCTGTTCACAGAGTCACCAAACCCACCTTAGAACAGGGAGGGACACGGCCAGATCCCAGTGGCACCCGAAGCGGGCATTCTCGCGTCTATTCTCAAGGCTATGGAGGGGCGCGGGGGCCGTGCCAGCCTCGTCCCGGGCCAGAGCTCCTGCCCGCCAGCTGCGTCCCCTGGTGCCGCCTTTTGCATGAACATGTCATGTTCCCACGAGTGAGGAGGAAAGGGCTGGCGTTTCCCTGTGAATCTGAACTTGCTTATTCTTTAAAGACATGTTGACGTTGCCTGGCTTGTGGTTCTTAAAAGTTTGTTTCCCATTGAAATTGCCATTTATGCATTTGCAGATATGTACTGACTCAGAAATCTTTTGTTTACTCAATAAAATAAGGGCGCGTTTGCTACAGATCTTAGTGCCTTTTTAGCTTTCTCTCCTCTGCTCGCCTGTGGTTTGATTTACCTGCGCTGAAGGTCGTCTCGTTTGACGACCCCACCCCTGAAGCAGCCCCTGTCGCCTACAGTCCCACTGATGTCTGTCCATCTGTGACTGCAGGCAGCCGGCCCCACAGTGCCCTCGGACTGTCTCACTGTGGCCGTGGGGGGTGATTCCCTACAGGAGGCCAGCGGGGGAGCCTCTCGCCTTCCTGAGCGGCCCTGCTCGGGCCTGCGTGCCCCTGTGATCGGCACATAAGGGCAGTGCAGGGAGCCGGCGGGCTGCTGCTCGGGGCCCGCACGAGCCTCCATGCTGGGGAGGAAACACATGGTCCTTGGGCACAGAACACGTGCTATTGGCGTCTTCTGAAAACGAGGCCATTATTGCCTCCCCGCAGTCAGCTAGACGCCCCCCACAATACGATCCTTGGACCAAAGTGAGGCAGCTGCTCAGATTCTGGGCCCCCGTTGGGCACCAACAGCTCTCTGCACCTCCAGGAGCCGCCCGCCTCTCCAGCCTCTGGCGTCACAGACAGCGGATCCCGGAGGCCGGCTGAGGAGAGTGCCCAGCAAGGTGGGCCTTGGGGAGGGGCGCCTCCTCTCCAGGGTCTGGGGGCACCTAGCACCCAGTGTGGTGGGCTTGAGGGGGGCACCGGGCAGCTCTGGACCGGCCCCTGTGGGCCCACACTCCCCGGGAGCCTGCAGCGGGCAGTCTTGGCCTTCAGAGGAGAGGACAGTGGGTCACGGGGGCGTGGGTCCCTCCCGTGACTCCGGCCCCGTCCCTGACTGGTGCCTCTGTGCTGGCGCCCCCAGGGGTGAGCCTGGTCAGTCCCCAGGGCAAGCAGTCAGGAGCGTAAAAGCCGTGTGGCCTTGCTCTCCAGGAGCATCCACTCAGGCCGCATCTCCCTCTCCAGGAGCGTCCCTGCAGATCGCCTACTGTACAGGAGTGCTTTCTTTCGGGGACCTTGCCTCCAGCGCTCCAGTGGTCCAGAGGATCATTAAGTCACAGCTTCTCAAGCTTCAGACAGAAGGTGTCATTTATTAGAGCCTGCTCCCTGGGCCAGCTGGAGTGTCCCACAGAGAAGACCCCGGATAGTCAGCCCAGAGTGGGACTGAGCTGTGGGTTGGGATGCTCACTTCCCTCAACAAGGAAAGAGTCGTGTTTACTTAGAAGGAAACCCCGGGAGACGCCCCGGGCATGCTGTGCACGTAGACATCACCCCTGAGTATCGAGGCCATGGGCAGACTGCGGTGTCAGCCTCGGGAGGACAGACACAGAGCAGGAGGAAGGGGAGCCGGCGCTTGGACCCCTCAGAGCAGCTTTTACTTTATGAGCCGATTTTGAGCGAAAGTGACTCTCAACACCCTGGGCCAGACGTGGAGCCAGGCCTGGCTTCCGCCAGCTCCCAGGGTTGTTTCCCTGGAGTGTAGGGAGATCAGCGCTCCCCTTCTCTTCTGGGAGTAGTGGTCACCATTCTGGCCACTGAGGCGCAGCTGCCTCTTGCTCCCTCCACCACCTTAACCTTCAGACTCGACCTTGACTTTTCCACACCGGAGCTGATTCTTGTTCCACTATTAGGCACCAGGTTTCAAGATAATTTACTTACCGGATTTTGAAGGAGAGAATTGAAAGCTATGAGGTGAAAGTAGCTGAGCTTCCCATCTAAATGTGACATTTCTCTTTTGTCACCTGGTCAGACAGTCAGGAGAAGGTTCCAGGAGAAGACGACAGCGCTTCTCAAAACGGCGTTGACACTGTAAGAGGATTCTTAGGAACGACTGGAAGTAGAGTCCACAGAGAAAACTCTCTTCCAGAGTGGCTTCCTGCTGACCGTTTTAAATGAAAGTTTACATTTTCAGTGGTTTTTTGAAGACACTCAGGCCTTGGCCCTGCAGCTTTGAGAGCAGAGCCTGTCGGGACTTCTGGGTGGGCAGCAGCTGTCCGCCCACTCCAGTCATTTGCTTTTGGACCCTGTCATGACATGCCATTTGCAGATGTGGCCCGTCTGCAGGATCTGGGGGTCCCCAAGGCTGCAGGGGGACAGGAGCGTACCCCGTACGTGAGCAGTCGGTCCTGGAGCAAGACTCCCGTCACTCAGCTGCACTGCCCCGGCCTGGCTGTTTTCCAGTACAGGACCTTGCACACAGGAGTTGGCATTTACAGATGTTTAAGATTCTTTACCATGTCAGTTAGGGCCACACATACTCTGGAACCTGAAACGTGACGTTTAGCACCTTAAAAATGCTTGAGCTGCCCGTCTGCCTGTTAGCCTGTATACTAATGCAGGTCATCTGCGTGGACAGGACTTTCTACGGTCATGTCATCACAGGGTCCAGAGTAGTGTTCACACACCCCAGGCCCTCCTGGAAATGGCTGGCAGAGCCACAGCCCCACACGGGGACGCCACGACAGGGACAGTGGCCCGCACGCTCCAGAGCCTCGAGTGTGGGTGGTTACACGTTTCCTGCCACGTGCCTGAGAGCAGCTCCCCACAGATGTATTCACCTCATTTCCTGGCATCTGAGTTGACGAAACGGATGTAGTTAGGACCTGCAACGTTTTACTGCAGCTGACAGATTTAATAGAAATAAACGTCCAATGCCAGGTTGTGATGCCTGTTAGTCTGGTCAGTAGAGGATGAGCTGGCAGTTTTTGCAGAATAGCAAGTACAGTGTTGCCCGGTAGTTACAGGACTGGCTCCAGGACCCCGAGAGAGCATGCCCCCTGCAGGAGGGGCCCTCCTGAGAACAGGCGTGGCGTTCACACACGGCCCACCTGCGCGCCCAGACCCTGTAAACCCGCTCTCCATGGAGCACAGCACCCGCTGCACCAACAGTGCTCTGAACAGGTGTAAACAGTGTAGACGTCTGCCCGGGCAGCACATTCACGTGCTGCTTTCGGGGGCTTTCTGGAACGTTTTCCCCCGAATAAATTCAGTCCTCGCTGATTAAACCCTCAGATGTAGAGACCACAGATACAAGGGCGGCCGTGCCCACAGCGACAATACCAGATGGTGGCTCTAACCACTCGCAGAAGCCAAACGGTTGATTCCAAACAAGCCGCCCGCCCTGAGCTACCGTCGCCCACCTGTCAGCCCCCCGCCAAGCCCACTCCTGCCCACCCTGGCCCATCTATAGGAGGTTTCAGTGCCACCACCAGCTCCTCACCTGTCACCTTCTGCTGTTTAAAAATAAAGTCTTTGTGCGAGACTTTTGGTAAACAGCACTACAAGCTTCCTGTGGGTGGCCCCTCATGGAGGAGGGCTGCGTGAGGCAGGAGGATGCTGGGTCGCCCCTTGGACATGCTCTGGGGACCAGTGAGCATGAGCGTTGGCCCTCACTCAGGGAACAACAGGCCTGGGGAGAACCAGCATTCACCTTGTGAGCACGCTTTTTGGTTTTTGTTTTGATTGAAGAACGGTCGCTTTGCAGTATTTTGTTGGTCTCTGCCGTACGAGAATGTGATTCAGCCGTCCATGTTCATGTGTCCCCTCCTTCTCAAGCCTCCGTTTCTATACTCTCTTCTGAATTTTCAGTGGGTCATGGTGTCTCGTCATACGGTTCCAGGCTAAGGAGGGACAGAAGGGACTCTGGAGTGTGATCCTCACAGCTTGTCTGGGGAGCGAGCCTCTCCTCCGGTCGAAGCAGCTGTGTTTGGGCAGAGGTGACCTCGTGGGTTTGGTGTGGTGCGAGGGGACATGGGGAAGTCACATTATTTTAAGGTGGTTTAGCCGATTTAAACATGTTGGTTCCAGGCTAAGGAGGGACAGAAGGGACTCTGGAGTGTGATCCTCACAGCTTGTCTGGGGAGCGAGCCTCTCCTCCGGTCGAAGCAGCTGTGTTTGGGCAGAGGTGACCTCGTGGGTTTGGTGTGGTGCGAGGGGACATGGGGAAGTCACATTATTTTAAGGTGGTTTAGCTGATTTAAACATGTAATAAAAGCAGATTTTAATAAACTGATTCTAACCATTTCTGTTCTTATGTTGTCCGGGTTTTCTGATGTCAGTGAACATTTGTCCGTGTCTGAAATCAGTGTGGTGTGAGAAGCCCAGAGGTCAGCTCTGCCGTCCGGCCTGGGGAGCCTGTCCCCGGAAGTCCTGGGTGGGGTCCCGGCTCCTGCTCCCCAGGGCTCTGAGCTTGTCAATGTGAAACCGGGCCACCTCCACCTCAGGCCGCTGGGAGGAGGGGTGCGCTGCGGGGCTGCGCTGTGGGAGCTCTGTTCACCCGCCTCCTGCACACACCTCTTGCACACTGCACTTGTTAGGCTATCTTAGGTTGCTTTCAATCACCAGTTAAATATCTTCTCTTAAACCCCTGCTTTAAGGTAACTCAAATTTGGCATTTAATTTCTAATTTCTCATTTAATATCTAATTTCTCATAGAAATCACTAATTTCTCATAGTAAAGCATTATAAATAAACCTTTGAGGATTTTTTTAAATAGATAAGATAATTTTGTATTACAAAATGTTGGAGGAAATAGAATGGGGTCTAAACTTGGCCGCAATCTAGTCAAGAGCAAACATTACTTGAAGAAGGGAAAAAACTGAGTGTTTCTTCTGCTTTTGTGGTGTGTTCTAGAACACCAGATTAAAGTCCTTGTTAATGAACAATTCAGGGGTGTAGAAAACCGTATGGTAACTCCATGTGACGCAGCATTCTGGTGCAGGGTTAGTGAATTGGCCTCAGCACACCTGTCCTCCTCCTCGCACACCTGCAGTGCCCTCCCCGCTCTGTGGCGGCCAATCTCCCAGAACCCTGGGCCCCGGGCCAGGCCGCCCTGGAGGCTCCCTGGGGAAGCGGGGTCGCACTGAGCCGCGCCCGCCGCCGTGGCGCCCAGAAGGGCCTGGTGGCGGCGCTGCCCCTCGGGCGCTCTCTTCCTCATCGCCCCCATCACCCGTTCACTTCCAGGCCTTCCAGCGGAGAGTCCTCTGCCTTCTCCCTCCACCCAGAGGAGCCCGCCGGGCCTGAGCCCCTTGGGCCCGGCCGCGCGGGGCCTCAGCCCCCTCCTGGGCCCCGTCCTCAGTGACGCTGCTGGAGCCGGGATGGACAACCGGGAGGAGCCGAGACGCAAGGTGGGCGCCCCCGGGGGGCTTACTGCTGGGAAGGGGGGCGGGGGGGGCGGGTGCCCCAGTCTTGAGACCCTCCCCTCACCTCTGGGGGCTTCCACCATGATGGGCCTCCCCGCTGTTGTCACGGGTCCTGGCATCCGTCGGTTCTGCTTGTGGGGCTGGATCCCGAAGACCTCAGCCTCGCCGCTCCCTGAACTGCTGGCTTCAGTTTAACAGTGGAGGAGCTGGGAGGGGCCGGGGGGTCAGGGGAGCAGGGACTGGTGGCTGAGGTGGTCCTGGAGGGGCATCCCAGGGCTGGGCACGTGGCGGAAGGTGAGGCCCCCACCTGCAGGTTCAGTGTCGGGCAGGAGCAAGGTTGGCAGGCAGAGAGCTGGGGGTCAAGGAGAGACGCCACTCGCGAGCAAGGCTGTGGCCTAAAGCAGGGGCACCCTGGCCTTGGGGCCCCCCAGCTGTAGGCAGGGAGCCTCAGTTTCCCTGATGACTCCCTCGGCAGGGCTGGGGCCGCCTCCATGTTCCTCAGCCCCATGGTGGAGCACAGGGTCTGGGAGCCTTGGCATCCACCAGCCTGGCCTTGGGCTCCAGCATCAGCGTCTGGCTGCCCAGCTCGGGGGTAGGGGTGGACGTGGGGAGCTGACCAGCCCTCTCCTGCAGCCCAGTACCAGCTTGCTGCCTGAAACCCCTTCCCTACCAGCGTCTCCCACTAACTGTGCGAGAATTGGTGAGGCCCCACGGTACTGGGACAGCCTGAAACGGAGCTAGTGCTCCCTTTCTAACAGGTGCTCCTCTGCCTATTGGCGGGCTCCCCTCAGGCTCTGTGGGAATAAAGCCTGGCCCCTCCCTCTGCCCTGACCTGGGCCCTGACCTTAGGGGTATAGCTGGCAGAGCAGCCAATGTTTTGCTTTCTCCCCACTGAGTTTCCTAGAAGCTGCCCTTTGATCTGGAAATCCGGGGCTGGCCCTGGTTACCCAGGCTGGCATCCACGAGCCACTGCTGACCGCCCTGCTGCTGGCAGCCCCCCGTCAGTAACTGGTGACGCCTGCTGTGTGGCTGTGACCGTGGCAGTGATGCTGCCATGGTTGTTTCCGGGCACCTCCACCTCCCAGCGGCGCTCCCTCCTGGACGGGGCTTTTCCCTCCAGGCTTTCTCGTCCTGACTCGCCGCCCGCAGAGGAGCTGGTCTCAGGCCCCAGGGAGAAGCCCCAGCCCCCAGCCTCCCTTTCCCAGCACGCCTCAGACCCCACCATACTTCGTCCCCAAGCTGATCGCCTGCAGCATTGGACTCTCACCCTTCCCGCACTCTTTCACCTCCTCCACCCACCTGGGCCTGGACCTCCAGGATGTGTGGGAGCCCCCCCAACCCTGGCTCACCTCCCTTGCACCTCCTGAGCAGCCCCAGCCTCCAGACTCACCCTGGGGCCAGCACGCCATCATGTGCTCAGATAGGCCCCCAAAGACCCTGCCTTCCTGCCGGCGACCACTTCTCTTGCCTCGTACCCGCCCCCATCCTTGGCCCCTGAGCTGGCCCTGACTGCCCACCTTCCACCCCACCTGCTCCCTGTCATGTGCACTTTGCTGCCCGGAGGGGTCACTTCCTCAGTAGCTAGAGTTGCTTCCTACCTGTTTCCTCCTGAGAGGCTGTCCGCTCAAGGGCAGGAACCTCTGCACTTGGCACTTCCCAGGTACCTGTTGCCACAGTTGACACGGGAGGGTCAGCCCCAAGTCTTCCACCTGGTGGAGGAGCAGAGGGTGAGCGTGCAGAAGGAGTGGGACCGGGCGAGCGCCAGGTGGGAAAGCACGGAGGAGGGGCCATCAAGCAGACCTTGACTTGCTCAGGGTGGGGTGCAGCCCTACCCTTCCCGCTCCAGAGGGTTCTGCCGCTGTGGACTTGCCCCTGCATGTTTATTTGATCCACTTTACTGTAATGTTTGCTTTATTGTGGCGGTCTGGAACCCAACCAACAGTTTCTCTGAGGTGTGCCTATATTTGTGTGTTAACCAGCTGCAGTCCTGCGAGTGATATCAGAACAATAATTTCATCACAAAATGAGTAATTAGTTTCTGTGTTTGCTGCTGTTTAAGCAGCAATTATTTTCTCAAAAAGAATAACATAATATGAGAAAAACATCTGAGGGAGATAAAACTGGGCTTATATTTTTACTCAGAAGTGACTCAGGAATTACATGTGAAGATCACACAACAGTGTTAACTTCAGCAGAAGACGTGCCGTGTTAGGACCGTCGGTGACATGGCCGGCAGACATACACTCACACTGTCTGCGCTTTTTGCAGTGCGTGCCTGCAGACGAGGCATATTTCATAGCAAAGGAGATTCTCGCCACAGAACGAACATACCTGAAGGATTTAGAAGTTATTACCGTGGTATGAAACCTAAATCCTTTGTTTTGATTTTCTGACTACTTCTTAAATCTAGGTCAGAGACAGAATCCCTCCTGATAAACTGCTCTTGGCCGTCATGAAATCTGTGTATGGGTGTCTATGTTTGTGAAGTGTGTGAGGTGTGAAAGTTACTCAGTTGTGTCCGACTCTTTGTGACCCCGTGGACTATACAGTCCATGGAATTCTCCAGACCAAAATACTGGAGTGGGTAGCTGTTCCCTTCTCCAAGAGATCTTCCCAACCCAGGGATCGAATCCAGGTCTCCCACATTGCAAGCGGATTCTTTACCAGCTGAGTCATATATGTTCTGTTAAATATATTTGGCTTAAAACATGTCTAATTAGATCAGTACTGGGTCCAATTTTTGTAAACCTGGCAACATATTCCTTTGAAGCTTTTCATCCAGAATTGTTTTCCTATATTGTGAAAACTGGGTGATCAGCCTAGAGGTTGGCTGTAGCACTGATCTGAGCTGTCCTTGTGGAGGCTCTGTGGTCAGTGCTGCATTTCCTAAGGTGTGAGGTTCCTGGGTCACCCTGAGCTCTTCTGGCAGTGGTTCCGGAGCGCGGTGGTCAAGGCGGACGCCATGCCTGCAGACCTGATGACCTTGCTCTTCTCCAACATTGACCCCATCTACGAGCTCCACAGAGGCTTCCTTCGTGAGGTGGAGCAGAGGCTGGCGCTCTGGTAATGCCCTGCACACCCCCTACCCCCTCCTCTGGCACCTCCACCATTACTGCTCTCAGGAGCTTTCCATCTTCGGGAAGTATTTCATAGGAGTCATTATTTCATTGAAACAGATGTTAGTAGAATCATAAGTTGCTTTCATTCATCCTGTTCCAGAAGAGAGAATTTTGTTGTTCAGTCACTCAGTCATGTCCAGCTCTTTGCAACCCATGGACTGCAGCACACCAGGTTACCCTGCCCTTCACCGTCACCCAGAGTTTGCTCAAACTCATAGTCCATCAGGTTGGTGATGCTATCCAACCATCTCATCATATGTTACCACCTTCTCCTCATGCCCTTAATCTTTCCCAGCATCAGGATCTCTTCCAATGAGTCAGCTATTCGCATCAGGTGGCCAAAGTATTGGAGCTTCAGCTTCAGCATCAGTCTTTCCAGTGAATATTCAGGGTTGATTTCCTTCAGGATTGAATGGTTTGATCTTCTTGCTGTTCAAAGGACTTCAAGACACTTCTCCAGCACCATAGTTTGACATCATTAATTCTTTGGTGTTCAACCTTTATGGTCCAACTCTTACACCTATACATGACTACTGGAAAAATCATAGCTTTGACTATACGGACTCCCACACCTATACATGACTACTGGAAAAACCATAGCTTTGACTGTGTGGACCAAAATGATGTCCTTTTCATCATAGGAGACTGGAATGCAAAAGTAGGATGTCAAGAGATACCTGGAGTAACAGGCAAGTTTGGCCTTGGAGTACAAAATGCAGCAGGGAAAAGACTAACAGAGTTTTGCTCAGAGAACACACTGATCATAGCAAACACCCTCTTCCAACAAGAGACGACGCTACACATGGACATCACCAGATGGCCAATACCGAAATCAGATTGATTATATTCTTTGCAGTTAAAGATGGAGAAGCTCTATACAGTGAGCAAAAACAAGACTGGGAGCTGACTGTGGCTCATATTATGAACTCCTTATTGCCAAATTCAGACTGAAATTGAAGAAAGTGGAGAAAACCACTAGACCATTCAGGTATGACCTAAATCAAATCCCTTATGA